CGCCGTATAAAAGTACAGTGCTGCAGAGCGAACGATTGCGCATTTATGGGACGATTGCTCTCTCTCTCTCTCTCGCTTTCCCTTCTTCCTCCCTTCATCCGGTCCGCGCGATCGGACGCGATGAAGTGCGATCCCACGCGCGGCTCGCCGATGGTGATCGGGCCGATTAAAAGGATAGCGCGTCCGCCGACTCACTCGGATCAATTCGACAGTCGGCCGTCGCGTCGCCCGTCATTTTCGAGTGCGAGCCGTCCCGATGCACGACTCGCGAAGTGGCTTGAAGAGGATTAGCCCGTCGGCTCGATTTCATCGGGGCTCCCTCTCTCCTCGTGGCTGAGCCCTAGATGTCATCGCCAGGAAGCGCGGCACGTCGAAGATCGGCTGGAGGGAAGTCGCGTTCTCTCTCTTTCTCTCTCTCTCTCTCCCTCTCTCTCTCTCACTATCCGTCTTTCTGTCCCGGTTCTTCTGTCTCTCTCGTTCGTTTGCTCGTCCGCTGGGTGTTATATCTATCCACGCGCCACGTGTGTTGTTATATAACAACAACAACAGTAATGACAACGGTAATAATAACAGTAATAACAACAATGATAACAACAGTAACAACAACAGTGATGTAATATATGTTCGCGTCATATACATTTCATTAGCGTCTACAAGATAAACCCCGATGTTCCGAATCTATTAATCCTTCTCCTTCCCTTCGAAATGGAAATGTTTTGATTTTCTTATCCATTCGTTAGTCACAAAATAATGAATCTCTCTTACGGAATATAAAGAGTTCGAGTATGTTTAACGTACGTAAAGGAACGTGAAGTCGTACGTACACACTTACACACGCGCGCACGATTGCGACCGCGTTGCCGGGTGTCACACGAAGGGCGCGTCTCATAATCGTTCGATCCCTTCGCCGTAGTTTCGGGACGCGATTCGCAAGGCGAGCGAGCGCGATATGAAATTCTCGTCGTGCGTTTCCGTCGCGGTCTCGGGCTCCTCTTGTTTTATTCAGACGCCGTATTCAGCGGTAAGACGCGAGCGGGGCGGCCGCTCGCGGGTTCAACTTCACACAGTCGGGAATAAATCGTCCGTGCGGACGGCTGCTCGCTGTCTTCCCAATTATAAAAGCTATTATGAATTTGCCGGGCAATTTGGCGGCTCTGAAAACGTGCCGCGCGTACGCGACATCCCGACGTCGTGGAATATCGAAACACCGGGGCGCGGAGGCGCTCCTTCTCTGTGAGCGGCGGAGAAAGGGAAAGAGAAAAGAAAGTAAGAAGGAGTAAAGGAAGACGGGGGGAAGAGCGAGAGAGGCAGGAAGCGCGCACGGGGTGACTTTCTCGGCCGCCGTCGCGATCGCGAAGCGACGAAAATAAGACGGGCGCGCGGCATTAACGATCCGTCGAGAGGAACAACGACGCGGTCTCTCCCTCGACTACGACCCACTCCGGCGACGAGGATATTTGTCTTCGAGCCTGGCCATTTGACACCCGATACCTCTTGACACCGACACGCCACGCCGCGCGAAGAATTACCGACGCCTCCACCGTTCTCTCTCACACGTTCTCTTTCTCACTCTGTTCCTCTTTCGTTCTCTCTCTCTCTCCCTCTGTCTTTCTCTCTCGGGCACCGTCTGCTTCGAATCGTCGCCCATTTTTCTCGACGACCCGGCCGGCGAAGTCTACCGAAAAAGAGACTGCCGCGCACCTGCTTAAGCGCGAGAGCGCCCACCGCGCTCGCTCGAGAGATAGATTCCCGACGAAAATGATGGTGCCACTTTTCACACCCACCCGATCGTCCGATAATGCCGACGTGTACCGATATCTATACCTGTGTATACCTGTGTAGCGCTCCTCCGATCTCGTTTTCCACGGGAGACGCCGAGGTTCCCACGACGAGCGTGCCCGACGCACGCGCTTCGAACACGCGCTTCTAATTCGAAACGCACAGATACGCGTGAAACGCGGAATTTTATTCGCCCGATCGAATAGTTCGGCTCGACTTTCCGCCATCCATTTCAAGAATCGGCCAATTTTGTGGTAGGCTTTAATAATACGCGGCGAGTTCTGCAAAAAATTATTATGGCTGCAACACGGTACAGAACCTTTTGATTCAGAATGGTCTAATCTATAAATGTATGACAGCTATTGTACCTACCGACAGATATTATTATATTGAACATTGAATCTTGAACTTTGAATCTATCGTCAGGTTTTCAATCATTAATAACTCGAAATTTTGCGTGATTTACAGAATGATAGAGGGACTACTCAGTTTAACCCGTTCTACTTTTATATAAGCTAATGAAAGGAAAGTTTCGGAATTTCCTTTCTGATATATTCTTCCTTATCAAAACGTTGGTTTCATGGAAACACGCGTCAATTCACTTACCGGATATGAGCGCTGACAAGCGCTTAATTATGTTTGAAGTATAAACGCCTGATTATAATAGCAAATATATTATTTTCGATTGTTAAGTGACTCAGGAAGATGACATATGTATGTACAGTGTGTCCGACACTTTTCTTTCATTAGCTCGTGTGAAGGTAGAACGGCTTAAATTTAATAGAAATGTCCTCTGTAGTTCTGCAAATAATCACATAACATTTGGAATTATTAATGATTGAACCGCCTGACTACAGGTTCAAAATTCAAGGTTCAATATAATGATATATATCGCATTAAGTACAACAGCTGTCATACAATTGTAGATTAGACCACACTGAATAAAACAAAAAAGCTTTGAATCATTTTACAAATAACATGCAAATTATTTAGTTATTATTTGAAGAATCCTTAACACATAACCACTTTCAATCATTAATAACACAAAATTGTTCATGATTGTTTGCCATATAATACAGGACTTTAGAGCCTAGACTGGTGACAAAGGGCCGCGTCTCGAAAAGAATCGCGCTTCTAGCTATCAGTTGACACCCGTTGTTGCCGGAAATCTCCAGAAATACTATATTTTTCTTTATACATAGCCTTGATCACTGTTCCTCGCGTACTCATTAATTTACACAGAATAATTAATTATTCGTTAATTATTCGTCCGAAGCATATTTGTAAATTAAATGTCCATAGCCCTAAGTATATATAGCTCATGTTACTCATCAACGTAGCAGTCAGTAGCATCATAATATCTCATTGGAAGAGGTGTAGTTAGTATAGAAAGGGAATTAAATCGTAAGTAAAATAATATTGCTTCTTATTACTCGAAAAATACTTAATGTAAAAATATTTTATTCGTGGTAAGCTACAAGAATATACAATAAAAAGTAGAAGTTTTCATTTACGAAATTGAAAATAACCTTCATGTGCCCTTCAAAAACTTAAAGTATAAATCAATGACACCACCTAACTTCCCCCTATAAATCATATCAATTTTGTATAAAACATTTTTCTCCGAAGTGCAATATTCAAGAGATATTTGCCGGCGTCATTCAAAATGTGACATCTTGTATGTATGTTGTCTATGACTTAGCGTAATATCTTTAGATATTGTTTTAGATTCTATTGAATCTTAGAAAAGTTAAATCGATTATTGATTTTTAAATTACATCTATCTAATTTTTTATCTATTCATGAAGAATTTCTTGTCAAAAAGTTATTGTCAATACACTTCTTGTTAGGAGAAAATTAAGCACTGAGACAGTTCGTCATAATAAGAACTGCTTCACTGTTATCAAATTGAAATTTTGCAGTATGATGCTAAACGTATCTACAAAACCAGAAAATTCAGAATTCCTGATTAATGATGATCCGACGAAGGAATTACAAAACCAACCCACAAGTACTCATAAGTGGAATAAGAATTGGAATATTCTTATCGGTGTCTGTATTTACCATTTATTTGGTCTTTATGGATTGTATGTAATGTGCTTCCAAGCTAAATATTGGACCACTCTATGGGGTACATATATTTCATTAATTTGTCTTAATTTGTCTATATGATACTAATTTAAATCATATAATGCTACTTTCTTAAAGAAATAAATTATGTTGTACTTAAAAAGGATTTTATGCCATGTAAGCGACACAGGATGATCAGTTATACATAATGATAGGTTACGTATTCTTATTAAGAAGCTATTATATATAATTTTCAGTTTTCGTCTTCGGTTACATAAGTATTATTGGTGTTTCTGCTGGTGCTCATCGATTGTGGTCACATCGCTCTTACAAGGCGAAATGGCCAATGAAACTTATATTAATGATTTTACAAACCGCTTCTTACGAAGTTAGTTTCCTCTCTGGATTTCCTTTTTATTTTCTTCATCTGTTTTGCCATTGTCGTAACACAATATCACGTATAATTTGTTTTATTGTTAAATTTCTTTATTATTATATACACGTTGTCGATTACGATAAGTTAATAATTTTAAACTATCACGCAAGTTATCGATTCATTGGTGGGCCAGAAATCACAGAATGCATCACAAATACAGCGACACTGACGCGGATCCGCATAACCCAAAAAGAGGATTCTTTTTCGCGCATATAGGATGGTTTCTGGTTGAGAAGCATCCAGAATACATAAAGAAACTCAGTAAGGTTGATTTTACTGACCTCGAGCAAGATCCTATCGTAGCGTTTCAAAAGAGGTACGCAAAACACAGAATCTTATCACGCGATAAAAGTTTTAATTAGAGAGTATGAGTTTATCAGCCTAATATTTTTGTTTATATCGTACTTGTTGCAGGTGGTACATGTACCTGGCGCTGATTTTTGCGTTTATTCTGCCGCCATTGATACCTTATTGGTGCTGGGGCGAAACGCTATGGTGTGCATGGTGTGCCAATATAGTTAGATGCTTGCTTATCATGCATATTACCTTCTCGATTAATTCTTCGGCTCATAGATGGGGTACAAGAACATATACGAAGTACGTGATAGGCCATTCACGATATATTGAGAATATATTTAATAAGATTATAAACGATGATTGTTTCATATGTATACACGCGAACGCGCGCGTGTGTGTGTGAAATTAATGAAATTAATGGAATTGGACGCTTATACGATTACCAGTCGTTATTACACTTTGCTTCTTACTAGAATTTATTTTTAACCGTTAGATCGAACTCGTCCTGCGACAACGTATCCGTTGCCATAGTGACGTTTGGTGAAGGCTGGCACAACTATCATCATGCTTTCCCTTGGGACTATCGGTCGAGTGAGTTCGGAAATTATAGTATCAGTATTTCTACAGCTTTCATTAATCTCTGCGCTTTTCTGGGAATGGCTTACGACTTGAAGGCAGCGACCTCCGATATGGTAAAACAACGTATTACTGAGAACAAAAGCGTGTCAAAAAAATATAAATTGGAAGAGTATTAAACTCTACAAGATATATGACAAAATACCTATATCGTGTACATACACATGGTGAACATGGTAGCTCGTGTGAAG